GGCAGGCCGGCTGCCGAGAGTTTTAAGGGTCTTCCGAGTATGGAGCTCTCCCGTCCTCTACCCCATCCCCAGGCCTTCCAATTGCCTAAGCCACAGGTGTCAGATTCTAGAGAGGGGCATGAATGGGACTGCACACAGCGCCCAGGAATGGAAGAACAGTGCTTGCCTTGGGGAGGGGGGCAGGAGGATAGGACAGTCGCAAGCACCTTAAGAGGCTATTGGCCTTGGGAGGGGATTTGAGGAACAAAGTGGGAACACTCACTGTCCCCTCCCCCTTCGCCAGTTACTTCAGTCCTCAAGAGCTTGGAAACCATAAGAAAACAAAGAGCCATCTTCCTGGAAGAGTTAATAATCATGTACATGCAAATATTTTTCCTTTCTCCTATATCTCTTTCACTTTGGAAACCCTAAAAGAAGTTGAGAGCAAAACCATTGGTTGGGCTTACAGATTTCTACTCTGCCTCTTACCCTTTTTCAAATCAGGATGTTATATAAATTAGTGAGAAAAATAAAGGCTGCTACCCTTCTCAGGTTATTTCCTTCGTCTGCTAATATTTATTGAACACCAGACCTGGGACATCTCATCTTTACTGTTAGGGAGTAGAGGAGAGAGAGGTTCTTTTATCCAACCAGTGTATTTTTTTTTTCCAGTTTATTTCTTCCCTAATTAAGAGAGACAGCACTCTACAGGGTCTGGATGCTTCAGTCCACCAGTCACAGGTGGTGGGCACCTGTGTGCCCAGCATACTCTTGAGTTTCCAGACTTGAACAGGGAACCTTCTGAGAGGTAGCCTTGCAGAGCAAACTATTGTAGGCTAAGGATGGTAAGTGGTAAAAGAAGCAGACTCCGCTAAACAGGTAAATGAACATGTGGTATGTCAGGTGGCAATAGGCCGATCAGAGATCACTAAAACGGAGATGGAAGAAGGAAAAGGTGATTGTTTTATTTGGTATATAAAGTGGTTGGAAAAGGTATCTCTAGTATGGTGAATTTTGAGCACAGACCAAAGGAATGAGGGAATCATATAAATGGAAGAAGAGCCTCTTTTTTTTTTTTTTTGTAGTTTGTCATATGGCATGTGTGCTCACCAGAGAGAAGGAAAGTGAGAAATCACCCCCCACAGGGGATACCCACTCTGTAATCCCTTCTCCTCCGTTTTCCTCTCAAGATTCTGGTCACAGCAGGTACATGTGCCAGGTGCAAGTTCCCGAGCTACTAGGTCCAGGACTTGAACTGCACAACTAGTCATGTGGAATCCAGCCCCACAAACTCTGCGCCCCCCACTGGCCCAAGAAGAGCCTTTTTAAAAATTAATCAGGGACCAGCAGACAGCGTAATAATTGCATTGCTGGACTCCCATGTAGTTGACTGCAGTTTGAGTCCTGGACCCAGTGGCTTAAAACTCACACTGGGCGCACGTGCCTACGTGCTCAAGATCCCGGGAGGAGAATGGAGAAGGGACTGCAGCGTGGCCATCCCCCCAGGTATTGGTTTCTGACTTTCTGTCTCTCTGGTGAACGTTTGGACCCTATAGCAAAAACCTCTCAAAAAAAAAAAAAATTATGGGGCCAGCAGATGGCATAGCAGTTACATTGCTGGACTCCCACATGGCTGACCATGGTTTGAGTCCCAGACCTGGTGGCTTCAAAATTATAGCAGGTGAACCGGCAGGTGGCATGTTGGCTAAGAGCGCTGGACTCTCACATGGCCGACCGTGGTTCGAGTCCTGGACCCAGTGACTTGCTTTCTCACTTTCCCGCTCTCTCACTCTGTCCCTCTCTGGTCAAATTTAAATAAATAAATAAAATAAAGTTAAAAAAAAAACCATAGCAGGTACATGTGCATACATGCCCAAGCTCCTCTGCATGCATGCCCAAGATCCTGGGAGGAGATTAAAAGAGCAGGAGAAGAGAATGTGGCATGGCCATCCCCCCGGGGGAGGTGATTTCTCACTTTCCTTTTCACTGTCTCTGTCTCTCTCTTCGATGAGGGCACATCCCCTAAGGCAAAAACCTCTAAAAAAGAAATTAACTGAGGCCAGCAGGTGGTGTGGTGGTTAATGCCACATGGCTGACCATGGTTTGAGTCCCATATCTGGTGGCTTGAAAATCACACTGGGCACGTGTGCATGTGTGCCCAAAATCCCAAGAGGAGAATGAAGAAGAAGGGATTGTGGTGTGACCATCCCCCTGGGGGGTAATTTCTTTCTGTCTCTCTCCAACATGGCAAAAAACATTCAAATTTTTAAAATTAATTAATTGTTTAAATAAATAAATTAATTAATTTCATGTGTGAGAGAGATGGGCACTCCCTATAGTTTTTTCGCCCCATGATCCATCCCCAGCTAGAGCTAGCCCCAGATCATGGTCATACATATGCCTAAAGTGTTCAGGGAGGTCTTCAGATGCAAACTGAGAACCCTCCCATGTCATTTAGCCTTGCAGATCACTGCATTACTGCTGCACCACTATTCGCACCACACTCCACACCCATCCTTTTCTTAAGGGTCTTGCCATCCTCCTGCCTCCGCCTTCCAATTAGCTGGGACCACAGCCACATGCCACCTCACTCTACTTTTGCAGAGTGGGCCAGGAAACAAATCCATGTAACTTCAGCAAGCAGCGGCATTCTAGCATATATTGCTCCTGGGCCAGGACTTGCTTTTCAGGCAGAGTGCAAAGGCCCTAAAGTATATGTTTCTAGACTAATTGGTGATGTGAAAGAGAGTGAGTTCAAGATTTTTGGCTTGAACAACTGGAAAGATGGCCTTCCTGCTTACAGAGATGGGGAAGCTGTAGTGCAGGCTTATGGGAGACTGGGAGTTATGGTTTGAGTAGGGTAAATTTGGGGTGCTTTTGCACATTCCGGTGGAGAGGTCAGCTAGGGGGTTAGCTATGTTAGTCTAGATTTCATGGGAGAGTCAGGCTAGATATACAAACGTGGGAACTGCCAGCAAGCAGGCAGTGGGATGAGACCAATCACAGGAAGGAGGCAGCGAGAAGAGGGCCAAGGACTGAGTCCCAGAATCCTGCAGTGATGGCAGGTTGGCAATTGAGTTGGTCCCTCATCAGGTATCACTGAATACCACTACATGCCAGGCACTGTTCTTGGTGTTAGAGGCATAAAATATCAAAAGTCCATGCTGTTGTAGAGGTGGTGGTGTGGTGGGGAGACACAGTGAACAAGTAAGACAAATCATATTAGATAGTGACATGTGCTGGAGAGTGAGTGAGGCAGAGTGAGAGTGGGTACTCAGGTTGGTGGGGGAGACAGCCTCCTGCAGAGTAGTGAGAAGGTAGTCCTTCAACCATGACCCAGAGGAAGTAAGGGACTGCATGAATGTCCAAGAAGCGCTGAGGAGGAACCAGCACAGGTGACTAAGAAAGCAGTAGAGTAAGAGAAGAACCCAGGAGAGGTGCCCTGGATGCCAAGTGATGCAAATCAGAATGGAGGCCCAGCCACGGTGGCACATGCTAGATACTGCTGCTCAGCATGCCGAGGCCATGGTGGAGGCCTGAATTTGATTCCTGACCCACCCTAAAAAGTTGGGCACAGTGGTATGTGCCTATAGTCTTAGCTGCTTGGAAGACTGACAAGGAGGATCACGGCACAGCTAGAATCTGTCTTCTGAAGAATAGAGAAAGGAGGAAGAAATGGAGGAAATGATCAGCGGATGATCAAACTGTTGGCTTTAGCATTGGTGAGCGGCAGTGGAGGAGTGGTGGGAAAGAAAGCTGATTGTAACTAAGAGGGTTCCTGTCTGCAGTCCCCTGGAAGACAGGTACAGTGCAGGTTGGACTTAGCTTTTTGAGTCAAAGCCAAGGTTGGTGTCCATCTCAGATGCAACCTCTGTTCCCTACAGCCCCCAGATATTTGTACTTTGTCTCATCTCTCCAGATGGTAGAGGAGAGGTGTAGCCACAGGATCAGAGGCACTGAGCTTGCCTGGAAAGGGTTCCTGCCCCATCAGAGCTTGATCCACATGCACAAAGAGCAGTTGGCCAGTAGACCAATGGGGGCGAGACCCTAGCTGTAAATGCTCTGGGAGAATTGGAGGGAGGCCAGTTCCAATGAGATGGGTAGACTTTCGAAGGAGCCTCAGCAGGTAGAGAACAGGCAGGTGCGTCATTCACTGACCGAAAGCTCATTGACCAGCTCCTCTCCCTTATGCCAGTCCTTGTGGGGACAATTAAGATGGTGAGATTCACTGTCCTCACCCTCGAGAAAGTGTGCCCAGGGCCAGACAGCGGCATAGCAGTAAAATAATGCTCTACAAGGCTGACCCATGTAGGAAGGATCCCAGTTCAAGTCTGGAGATGTCTCTGAGTATGCCAGGCACATGCGTGCCCATGCTTAGGTTGGCTGAAGGCTGAGGGTGGATGATAACAGCTTCAAAACATGTTGTGCTTGCTTGTGCGCATGTTCTCCCTCATGGAAGAGAGAAAGGAATAAACATTCTTTTTTTTTTTTTTAACAGTCTTTGGGACCAGAAGATGGCTTAATAGTTAGGTTTCTGGGCTCCCACATAATTGACTGCATTGCTTAAAACTCAGACCTGGGGGGACCAGCAGGCAGAGACAGACAGGGAGACAGAAAGCGAGAAATCACCCCCCAGGGGGGATGGCCACACCGCAATCCCTTCTCCTCCATTTTCCTCTCGGGATCTTGGGCACTCACGCACACGCGCCCGGCGTGAGTTTTAAGCCACCGGGTCCGGGACGCGAACCGCAGTCGACTACATGGGAGTCCAGCGACATAGCCATTACACCAACTGCTGGTCCCCAAAAATCTCTCTCTAAAAAAAAAAATAATAAATAAAAATCTTTGCCATAGAGCACATGCATTCGTCAGAGAAAGGAGGAGAAGAAAGTGAGAAAGTACCCCCCCCCAGGGGGAATGACAACACCGTACTCCCTTCTCCGCTCTCCTCTTGGGATTTTGGGCATGCACACACATGCATCTAGCATGTTTTTCAAGCTGCTGAGTTCAGGACTTGAACTGTGGAGTCAGTCATGTGAGATCCAGCCACCTTCACCACCACTTCACCTGGCTGGACCAAAATTAATAACCTTTTAAAAAAGAGAAAAGAGAGCTCAGCAGGTAGAATGGTAGTTGGGATCCTGGACTCCCATATAGCCAACTGTGGTTCAAGTCCCAGACCTGGCAGCTTACTTTCTCACTTTCTCTCTCTCACTATCCCTTGTGATACATGTACCCTATAGTAAATTAAAATAATAATAATAAATAAAGCTTTTAAAAAAAAAAAAAGGAGGGAGTGGCCAACCAGTGGCATAGTGGTTAAGGGCGCTGGGCTCCCATGTGGCAAACCACAGTTCAAGTCCTGGACCTGGCAGCTTGCTTTCTCGTCCCCCCCCCCATTCTGTCCTGCTCTGATCAAATTAAAATAAGTAAATAAATAAAGTTAAATAAAATGATTTTTTTTTTTAATGAGAGAAAAGGAAGCGTACATACCCTGGAAGTTAGATATAGATGCAGTCAGCCGTGGGGGTGGGTGGTCTGGAAGGCTCCACAGACATCACCTGGACTGATCAGGGTGCTCTGGAGAGACGTGCAGAGACTAAAGACCTGCAAGAACGTATCTCCTGTAAAACTCATGTGTAGTCCTGAGGTAACGGGTTACTGGCACAAAGGCCGTGTTCCATGAAGCTTCTACCTCGTGGGCTCCAGGGGAAGGGGGAACACTAGACAGTAAGATAACACCTTCCCCACTATACACTGCTAAGTTTGGGGAATTTGTAGGTCACGGATACCTTTGCTGATAATCTTTTCTCCCTCTGCAGTGACCCAGCAGGAGAAGACCCCACCACCTAGGCCCAGCCTGCTGGAGGCCAGCGGTGATGGCTGTGAGGAGCCCAAGCAGCAGGTGTCTTGGGAGCAGGAATTTCTGGTGGGCAATAGCCCTGGAGGCAGCGGGCGGGCGCTGTGCATGGTGTGTGGAGCCGAGATCCGGTCCCCCTCAGCTGACACGGCTCGCACACACATCCTGGAGCAGCACCCTCACACCCTGGACCTGAGCCCTTCTGAGAAGAGCAATATCCTGGAGGCCTGGAGTGAGGGGGTAGCCCTTCTGCAGGACGTCAGAGCTGATCAGCCCTCCCCACCCAGCTCAGGTAGTTGGACCTGGGCTGGGGGCGGAGGAAGAACTAGACCTGTTGGAGGACTCAGAGCTCATTTGGACTTTGCCTCCTTTAGACCTAGGCAGGGATGTCGAACCAGACCCAGACTCCAACCCAGACCCTACCAGAATGCCAGCAGAGATCGTGGTTCTCCTTGACTCTGAAGACAACCCATCCCTCCCTAAAAGGACCCGGCCCAGGGGCCTCCGCCCCCTCGAGCTTCCTGGTCAGTTAACAGGGAAGTTAGTTAGGTTTGGGGTGGGGGTAGGCGGACTGGGTGAAGCATAGGCCCCGTGTTCTTAGCAGAGAAAGTCTTATTCTTCAGGAGCCCTTGCAGGGGCTCAGGCATAGAATCTTAAAAAGGTATGAGGTAATTTACAGGGTTTAAGCATGGCGTCTTAAAAGGGTGTAAGGGCAGGCTAGCAGGCAGTGTTGAGGTTAAAGTGCTGGATCCCATGTGGCTTGGTTCAAGTCCTGGACCCAGCAGATTGAAAATCCCTCTGAGCATGTTTATGTGCATGCCCAAAATCCTGAGAGAAGTCATGGATAAGGGATTGCGGTGTGGCCATCTCCCCTGTGGGGTGAATTTTCACTTATCCTCTCTTATTTTTTGAGAGATTTTTGCCATAGGGCGCATGCGCTCACCAGAAAGACAGAGGCAGAAAGCGAGAAATCACCCCCACCCCCCCAGGGGAATGCCCACACCACAATCCCTTCTCCTCCATTCTCCCCTCAGGTTCTTGGGCACGCATGCATACGCACGCAGCGTGAGTTTAAGTCACCAGATCTGGGACTCGCACTGCGGTCGACTACATGGGAGTCCAGCGACATAGCCATTATGCCAACTGCTGGTCCCGCTCTCTTATGTCTGGCAAGCACATGCTCCGTATAACAAAAAAACTAAAGAAAAAAAGTGTGAGAGCATGGCCTCGCCACAGTAGCTTACTGAGCTACAGTGCTGGAAGCCACGTGGCTGACCATGAGTATGGATCCCAAGTGGACCTGAAACACTAGGTGCATGCACCCAAGACCCTAATACACTGCAGGACTGGGGAAGGGATCATGGCATGATGAGACCCCATTGAGGGTGCCTGTTTTCTCATGTGCACACACGCGTGCTTTTTTAAAAGGGAAAAGAAAAGGACATGACGTCTTTTCTTTTTGCAGCTGCCCCTACCATAGAACCAGCAAATAAGAAGCCCCGTGGTCAGAGATGGAAGGACCCCCCTGGGGAAGAGCCAATCAGAAAGAAAAGAGGCAGACCTATGACCAAAATCCTGGACCCCGACCCAGGTGAGGGGGGCTCTGGCAACAGTGCCCCAAGAGGAAAGCCAAATCGGTGCTAATCGGGTGGGGTTCAGGCCTTTGGGCATGGCCTCAACAGCTGGGCAGCACGGCCTCCTTCACTCACTGTTGTATCCTGTCCTCCCTTGCAGACCCCCCGTCCCCTGACTCACCCACAGAGACGTTCGCGGCACCTGCTGAGGTCCGGCACTTCACGGACGGCAGCTTCCCCCCTGGCTTTGTCCTTCTGCTTTTCTCCCACACCCAGCTCAGGGCCTCGGACAGCAAGGACTCTCCTGCAGAGAGGAGAGTGGCTGAGGGAGCCCTGCCCCAGCCAGAAAGCCCCTCTCCAGGTGAGCTTTCCCAGGAGGGAGTGCCGGGGAGGTTAGGTGGGCCTTGTCCCAGGCTTGTTCTCCATGCAGCTATTGGGTAGCAGAGCCCAGGGCAGAGGTGGCTAATGTTCAGGTCCCCTGGGAGATAGGGCCTCAGCCACGGGGTGTGAATGATGAGGGGACCTGGCCAGATAGCTGAGGTTTTCTGAGCATTTCTTAGTTTTCTGGAATGGCTTGCTAGGTTGGCTGTGTCTGCCTGGAGCCTGACACTCACCTCCAGATGTGAGGCTGATCCTCGTCCCCTCATCCTGATGGATCAGGAGCCAAGTGCAGTCGCTCAGAGGTTCAAATAATTAGGGGTGCAGAGAGCAGATGGGTGATGAATACCACCTCTGTACACTGCCCA